ATTTTAAAACTGTCTCAATGCTATTTCTTTCTCAATAAAATTAATATTAAAATGAGAAGAAAGGGCTGGTGAGATGACTCAGTGGTCTAAAGCACCTACTTAGAACAAGCTTAGCAAAGCACAGGGACCGTGGTTCAATTCCCCCAGCACCACATTCCAGACAGCCCCGCCCTCTGGTGGGCTGAGCTGGCCACACACACACACACACACACACACAAATAAATAAATAAATAAATAACGAATAACTACTCTGAAGACACCAGTATGCCATGTATTAATTATTGTATCTGTCCTACTAACCTGTTTTGAAACTGTCTCAATGCTATTTCTTTCTCAATAAAATTAATAAAAAGAGAAACAAAGAAAAAAGACAGAGAAATCAAGAGAATAAAATGGCAGAAAAAAAGGAAAGAAAGGCAAACAGAAAACAAACTACATCAAATAGTGCAGCCTCAGAGACACTGATTATTTGAAGGCTGTTCAGTGCTGAATACATACATGAAATTGTCAACTGAAAATGGAAATTAATTTTTCTTGCTCTTTTCTTCAAGATATTTATTCATTTTTAGATGAATGGTGGAACAGAAAGAAAGAGGGGAAGGAAAGAAGGAAGGAAGGAAGGAAGGAAGGAAGGAAGGAAGGAAGGAAGGAAGGAAGGAAGGGACAGGCAGGCAGGAAGGAAGGAAGGACAGGCAGGAAGGAAGGAAGGAAGGGTGGGAGGAAGGAAGGAAGGGAATTTGTCCACAGGTACTCACTGACCTGTGTCATTGGCGATCTCATTTTCCGGGCACAGGGTGCAATCAAAACAGCAGGCCATCTTTCCCACCTGATAGGACTTGCGAAATCCCAGATTACAGCTCTCACTGCATACAGAGTGGGGAGTCTAAGGAAAATCAGATGTGATTTGGTAACTTCTCAGGCTCTTCCACAATCCTTGATAATTCCACTGCTAGAAATTAATTTCTGATATGCACATATCCAGTTCTATAAAAACTCATCTTTACTGAGTGATAAATGTATATGAACACTTAATAATACAGTTAAATCAATATGACATTACATTTAGCTGAAAATGATCAATAAACACTCTTTAACTGCAAGGAGTATTGTGAAATTCTGCCATTTTCTATGTGACATTCAGGCACATACCCTGCAATACTCTACTGCATCTGTAGTTAGTGAGGTCCACTCTGACCAGGTCTAACATACCTCTGTATGTCCTGTGGCCCACTCTATCAAGTCCTCAGATATAGACAATTGATCATGTGAAACATGGGAAGAAAATGATCCAACTTTGACCTTAAGTCGAAGGCCTTCTGGAACATTCCAAAAGTTGAGAATGTCATACTCTGCATCCACTTTCCTTTTGTCATCCAAATTCACCAGATCTCCAGCAGGATTGATAAACTGAAGATTCTTCAAATAGAGGTGAAGCTAAAACAAATAGATTGCACCATAATGAAGTGGGCTTGTGCATTCATACATAATTCTGAGTTGGGGACCACTTGAATTGTCTTTAATCCCTGTTTCACAATGCAATTTGAACAACTGCATCTAAAGAATTCAATAAAATGAATCACATGAACATCTATAGGCACTAAAATACAGTATCACAATGCTCATAATTATCACTTTTGAGAGAAACTACTCTAAAAAAAAAAGTACGTTTAAGGACAAGTTTTACGTGAATTTTAGGCAAAACCTAACCTTGGAGTTAAAGTTCTCCAAGTTTATTTTCATCCTCATTATTTCAATTGGCATACAAAAAGGCTGCAGAATTCACTGAGGAAATTCACATAATGTATACACTGTAGTGTTTAGCACCACTAAAGTACCGAAAAAATGCATGCTTTACTGTTGTCTTTGAATAACCTAAATTTTAGATTTAAATTTTTTGCTTTTGTTTTGTTTAGTGTTTTTCTTTAAATGAATTTTATAAGTTTATTTCTGGTAATCTGAACAACTTCTTTGAAGATCGCATCATATAATACAGCAACCAGTTTTTAATACCTTTTACTTTATTTTGTGAAATTTTGTTTCATTTCTATTGCTGTCTCTTTCTATCACTGTTTTGTACTCTTTGAAAAATAAAGATATTAATAAAATAAAATATTATATGGGACCCAGTCCCAGCCCAGGTCCAGTGAGTGTGTGGGAGAGCTACCTGCTACCCTGCACTGGCAAGAACAGTCCCAGCCCAGGTGCAGGGTGGACCGGACCCTCTCCCACACACTTGGGCCGCCCTCCACCACTCCACAGCACTGCCCCCACAATGCCTGCTGAGTAGGAATTTCTGCCACGCCGGGAACCTCCAGACCCAATCCTAGCCCAGACCAAGTGAGTGTGTGGGAGAGCTTCCACTTCCCTCTACTTCACCTTGCCCCCTCCAGGCACAGCTAGGCCTGGCATACATGACTGGGGTGTAACCTGCAGTTGCAATCCCTGCAGAGAGTGTAGAGGATAGAGCCACCCAGCTAGTCCAGGAGCAGAACATCATGCCACAGGGGTACAACAGGTTCACCTTCAAGGGCAGCAGCGAGAAGGAGCTGAGCACAACAGCCAGACCCAAGCCAGACACAGCTGGATAAGTCCAAACTTTGTAGAGCTCCAACTGAACTTCAGTATGTGTGAAGGTTATAACTACAGCAAAGATCTACAACAAAGGGCAGAAGACAGTGCTACACAAAATGATGAGAAGGAACAAAATGTAACTTCAGAACCCAAGCCCACCCATAACAACTGAAAAGGATACTAACAGAGAAGAAATTGGAAATTACAAGCTGAAAGCAAAGAATCAACGGCTTCTGAAATAAAGAAACAGCTGCAGAAAGATATAGAGGACCTCTATATAAAAAAAGAAATCCCTGAATTAATAACATCCGCACTAAAGAATCAAAAGCAGAATCATATGGAGGAAACCCAGTGCCAACTCAGAACAAATGTGGAGGACACTAGCTCAGCTCAAATGCATGAATTAATAGCATCGATAGCAAATAAGCAACAGCAGAAAGATATAGAGGAAATCAGAGCGCAATTCTTTTCTGAAATAAAAAAAGAACTCTGACAACTCATAGCATCTGCAGTTAAGAAGCAACTGCAGAAACATAGAGAGGAAATCCAAGCTGAAAAAAAAAACTGCAGTAAAAGAATTTATAACTGCTTCTAAGGAAGATATTGATAAACAAAAATAGAGGAGAGTAGAAAAATAACGGATTCCTTGAATGAGCAATACAGGAAAGAAATAGATCGCATAAGGCAGAGTCAAAGAGATATAGAGGATAATAAAATGTCAATCACAAGCTTGCAAACCCATTTAAGTGAGTGTGAAGACAGAGTTTCAGATCTTGAAGATGCTGGTGTAGCTAGTGAAAAGGTAAGAAAGGATCTCTTAAAAACAACGAGGATGCAGGAAAGAATAATCCACCAGCTGCAAGATGATGCAAAGATGAACAATGTGAGACTAATAAGCATCAATGAGAAGGAAGGAGTCAGCACAAATGACACTTTGAAAAATATGGGCAGAAGTAATAGCAGAAAACTTCCCAATATGAGGAAACAATCTGACATTCAGGTAACTGAAGCATACAGAACGCCAAGTAACGTCAACACAAGGAAAAACACACTGAGACATAAAATAGTCAAGACCCCAGAAATTCAGCACAAGAATAATATACTGAAAGCCGGCGAGATAAAAGAAGCACATCACATTGAAAGGAAAACCCATCAGAATTAAGGCCGACATCCCTTCACAAATCATGGAGGCAAGAAGAGCATGGAGCAGAGTACTTCAAGTCTTCTATGAAAACAAATTCCATCCCAGACTACTATAACCTGCAAAACTCTCTTTCAAGTTCTATGGAGAAGTGAAATACTTCCATGACAAAGAACAGCTAAAGAATTTCGAGATGACAAAGCCAACCTTATACAGGCTACTGAAAGATGTTATAGAGACAGACCAAAACAATCAGAGCTCCACGAATGAGAACGGAAGCAACTAACTAAATAGGGTAAGCAATTAAACACAGGAGAAAAAAGGAGTAAATGATAACAGGTAAATAACATGGCAAACGTAAGTCAATACATCTCAAAATTAACCATCAATGTAAATGGACTCAATTCACCAATTAAAAGATATAGACAGGCACAGTGGATTTGGAAACAAAATCCAACAATATGTTATATACAAGAAACACATTTGACTCATAAAGACAATCACAGGCTGAAAGTCAAAGGATGGAACACAATATTGCATGTCCCAGCACCTCAGAAAAAACCAGGGGTAGCAATCCTATTCTCAAACAGTCTCAAATTCAAACCAAGAATGATCAAGAGAAATAAAGAAGGACACTATATACTGATTAGGGGAAAAATTCAACAGGAAGAGGTAACACTCACAAATATGTATTCAACAAACACGGGAGCAACCAACTATATAAAGCAAATCTTAATGGACATGAAAAATCTAATATCCAATACCAAAATTTTAACAGGAGATTTAAAACACCCTTATCTCCAAAAGATAGGTGAACAAGACAAAAACTTAGTAAAGAAATAGTAGCAGTGAACCAGAGTTTCAAAGAAATGGACTTGGTAGACATAAACAGAGTGTTCAACCCAAACACAGCTGAATACACATTTTTCTCAGCTGCACATGGGTCATTGTCTAAAATAGACCACATTCTAGTCTATAGGTCATGCTTAAGTATATGTAAGAAAACAGAAATTATACCATGCACATTATCTGACCACAGTGCAATGAAACTGGAAATAAATGATTAAAGAAACCAGAAAAAACGTTCAATACATGGAAAATAAATAACACCCTACTCAGCAACCAATGGGTCACAGATGAAAATAAACAAGAAATTCAACAATATCTACAATTCAATGAAACTTCAAGCACAACTTATTGGAATTTATGGGATACGATGAAAGCAGTTCTCAGAGGGAAATTCATAGCTGTGAACTCACACATTAGGAAAA